ATGAAAATAGTGAAATTATGAAAAGTTTCTGCTAATTTGGCATACTGGGCTTCTAATTTGACCCTCTTTCTCTTTATTATTATTTTTTTTTTGTGAGGTTATGTTGGTGGAAGAGTTTTATTTGAACTCTAATAATGAAAATAGTGAAATTATGAAAAGTTTCTTCTAATTTGCAATATTGGGCTTCTGAAAATGTGCTTATTTGTCCTCATGGAACAATGAAATTGCTGCATATATATGCTGAAGGTGTTTTTTATTGGATTATTTTAGACTTTTTTTTTTTATCTAGTTAATGATATTCAACTTTTGAAGAACTCTTTGACTGTTGATTCTACTATTTTCAGAATTTGACGCACTTTTAGACGGCTCACATGCTTTTGATCCTTGTTTGTGTGTCTTATAGAAGTTTTTGTATATGCTTTTTACATGTGCAAGCATCTCGCTGGTTTAGTTCTTCTTTTTCTTGTTGTTGGGGGAGAAAAAAAGTTAATTTCTTTGTGGCATCTATGCATAAAATTCCTTGCCGCCTAGTCATCATTTCTGTGGGGAATGACTTCTGTGTGTTCTTATTTTTGTATAGCTGTTGTAGAACACGATTATGTGTGGCAGTTCTCAATGCATTATGATTTTGAAAGTCCTGCATGTAATTCTTGTTCTTGATCTCAAAACTTAACTTAAGCTTGTTGGCTTATGCTAAAATGGCCCATTGTCGGATGGTGGAGAAACAGTCTGTTCCCAGACATTGCAAATGAATGTGATTTGTTATGTTATTTGCATTTGATACTATCAACCCCAAATTAATCAAATCTTTTCATCAAGCGATTCTCCCCTGTGAGCAATCTCATGTACGAGCTGTTTTCTTTATCTATTGGTCTGCATCCATAGCTCTTTTTGAAGCGTAGGAAACTTTAATTGCTTGGAATATTTGAAGTCATTTGTTAACTTTTATGATAAAGCGGGTCCAATTTTTAAGATGTCACTTCCGCAGTTCTTTGTTCTCTAGGTGTCAATAGCATTTCTGCTTTGCTTAAATTTTCAGGAATCAGAAGAAGAAAAATATCATGTTCCTGGAGAAGATTTTAATTATTCGTGCCTATCCTAACTTTGCATGTCTGCTGAGTCTTGTTTGTTTCTCCCTCCAAATATCCTCAGTAATTGCATGATAACATGGTTCTTGTCTCGTAACTTTATATAGGTTGCACTAAGTAAATGGTATGTGGAACCCACCTGCCTTAACTGCCACAGGGGAAGGGCAAGACCTAGATTCTGTAACTACTATGATAGGTGGAGCTGATGATCATGGCCATATTAAGTTTTCCCAATTTGATTCAGCGGGTTTCACTGATGTTCATCAGCATGACGTACAAGGAGATTGCTTCTCATACCTCTCCGAGTTCAAGACTGAAAACAAGAGGTTGTGTTTGGATTTGAACCGCTTAACAGATCCCAAGGCTGATGCAAATCTCATTGACATCAAATTTTTAGACGACAAGGCTGACTTCAATGAAGTGTCTCAAACCCCGTATCCGGAGGTGATGATGAGCGAACTTAACAATTTAACTGATGAAAGTAATACCATCCTGGCTGATTGTTCGGTGAATTATAAAAAATTAGAGGCTGACATCAATTTCATGCCACAGTCGTGTGAGTTGGTTTCAGGTTATCCCATAAAGGCTCATGGAACAGAAGATAGAAATAGCAGAATTTGTAGGTTACCTATGAGTTCTTCTCCTTCTCCTTCTCCTTCTTTCGATTGTGGCACATCATCCGTGCTGCCTTATCCAAGTTGCTCTCAACAAATTGTCAATGGGAATTTTCTTAGTCTTGGCATAGGAGGTGGTATGGAAACCAAAACCAATAGTAAGTTCAGTACTCGAGAAATTGCTAGTAAATTGGCAGATCCTCTATCATCCCAGTATATGGGTCCTATTGTTGGACAAACTCCAACGAATCCTTCGAGTCTTACTCCATTAGTAGGCTGGCAATCAAATGTTGGTGGATTATCAAGCTCCTCATTAGCCGACACTCGTGTTGAAGGTGTACATTATGGAGACACTAGGTCAAAGATAAATCCAATTCAATTTCGTGGTTTCCAGGCTCCGCAAGCTAATCCATTCTCTAACTTTCCAGCAACATATGATAATTTTGGGTTTAACCTGAATTCACCATTGTCACCTTCTGTAATTCCTATAGTCCCTCAATGTGGATTTGTCAACCAGAACCTGTTGGGGACTCAAATGCCTAAACCCACATCTTTTTCGAGGCAAGGTATTCGTTTGCAACAACATTACAGCAGCAGAAGTTCTATAAATGCCCCGTCTGATTCTGCATGGTACAAAGGAAGCCCCGTGGGTCATGAGCAACTAGGTGAGACTATCTCTCCCTCTCTGGATAAAGTATCTGAGAACGTAGTTTCTGGGATGGACTGATTATTATGTGATTTCGTCTATATGTTCATCTTTACTTCCGCTTCCATATTAATGTAAATTCACAGTAATTATCTTCTAAAATCACCAAGCTAGCCAGTGGAAAAAATTATGTAAATTTAAGATGGACCGAGTAAAGTTTAATGTGTATTTATCTAGTATGGGAAGGGTGAACATTTCCTTATTGTTAGTATATGTCAACCATGATATTGTTGTTATTTTTGCAAATCCTTTGCTGTTATCTAAAGCTTTTGCTATGGAATTATTCATACAGGAAGATTAGTGCCACTGGCAGAAGCTAAAAGACCCCGAAATATTGGTAGTGTTTGTTTTCCTGGGAGTGTTCAACCAGTGCCAGTTGGTAAGGTTCAATTTCAGTCTCACAAGCAATTGCACTGATGAAGACAGTTGTTTCTTAATGTTAATCGGTAGAAGTATGAGAAAGGATATTCGTTTGGCTTAACTTACTAGAAATTTCCATAGTATTCTTCGTAAGTCACTAGTTCTCTGAGATGTTCCTTTTTTTTTCCTATTTTTCCTATGTGTGAAGGGAACCGGTCTTTGCAAGCAAAAGGTACCACCAGTACAGGAGTCGCTAACACTTCTCCTTCCCCATCAAATATTCAACCAGTTGGTGAGTGCATTTATCACTTGTAGATATCTTGACCATTTTTCAAAATTTTATACTTTAGCTTTATTTATTCAAGAATTTCGCCATCTTTGCCTTTTTTTTTTTTTTTTNNTTTTTTTTTTTTTTTTTTGCTGGACCTTTGATTTCTGGTGCTAAATATAAGTTTCAGAATTGAAAAGTTTCTCAAGTGGGGGTCAATTTAATTACTGTGATTGGTATGTGGACTCTAGTTTTTGGTAATGTTGAACTTCTTTGAGTCCTTTATAGAAGTGTTGCAGATTCGAGAACTCATCTTGGTTTATGAGATAGCCAAAGGTGTACTCTTGTCTCTAGGTTAGATAAATCAAATATTTGTTAAGCATGTACCTTTTTTTGGCAATATTCCCCTGGAGGAATTCTTCTTTTGTGAGAAGCAAGAATTAAGTAAGTGTGGAACATATACCAACTGGAACTCATTTAAAATTCTTCATTCGAAAAGTCAAATTTCTGATAAATAGTAGTTGTCCACTATTATACTGTTTCATCTAAACAGGCATTTACAAGTAATCGTTTAGGGTCCTGTCTAATGATGAGTCTCTCTCACTCTCTCTCCCATTTATTTTTGTCTTCTCAGCAGGGCAAGCACCTTATTCTCATAATATCAGCTCTATTGCTGGTACTAGCTTAATATCTGAGAGATTCACGTACCCAATTTCAAGAGTCAGCCCAATCCAGTCTGCTGCTGCTGGCACATTTCCTAGGAGGCTTGGTGTTCAAACTGCTGAGCCTACTCCTCGAACCATTGGAGGTCAGTATATAGTCAGAAAGATATGTAGCTTGATACATTTGTGGCCAGATATATTTTAGAAATTATATATATATATATATATATGCATATATATGTGTATATATATATTTCTTTGTCTATGAACCTTGGGTTTATGATTGAGGAAACATAGAAATTTCCCTTGGTTTGAAAATTCAAGCACCAAAGTTGTTGTTTCTACTGAATTGATATTAAAATATATAACAGATGAGGGGCGTGTGATCGAGTATGAATTATTTATAATTGTACATAAAAATAAATAAGATTATGCTAGAATAAGGGAAAAGATGAGTTGCCTCAGGCACTAGTAATCATGACAAATTATTTGTAATCAGCACCTACTAAAATGTACTGGTAAATTATTTCGCAACCTTTATTGACCTATATCTGCCATTGATATTGCTTTTCAACTTTGTCCATTTGTCTTCCGCTAAATAATTATGGAAAATTTCTAACTTTTAGATGGTTTTGTGTAGCCATTCCTGAAAACCGTTTACCAGTTCAGGCTTACCCTGTTAGACCCATAGTTCCATCAGGTACACCAGTTCAGGCTTACCCTGTTAGACCCATAGTTCCATCAGGTACTTCAGTGTAATCAAATTCATGAGAGAGGGCATATTAGACCTTTCCTAATATGTTGCTTTTGTAATT